TCCAAACTAACCCTTACCCTAAATTAATTAAAAACAAAAAACACGTGACTGGACACGGCTTTAGACGTTCCCCCAAATAAGCACTTCATTTTTGCTGATCTTTACGGGATACTTATATTTGGAAGAATCGTGATACGATAGTAATTATTTATCTTTTATAAAACCAAGTTTTCACGTAAGGTGGTTGATTCAAAATTTTAGGTTTATCCAGAAACATTATACTAAATAAAGTCGAATGGCGCGATCTTGCTGTGACTGTTTCAGCCAAAGAATACTAATAATTAACCATTATATTCAATCCCTGTTGCACAATTATTAGAAAAGTTGCCGCAGCCGGATAAACTGGAAATAGTTTTTTTAAGTAAGCAATCGGATAAACTGAAAATAGTGTTTCAGGTAAGACAAATTAGTATACGAATGGGAATTTTTTTATTTAATGGCAATGCCTCCTTAATCTTTGAATTCTCATAATAATGACGAAGGGAGAAATTCATTTCATGAATATTTTACCCGAGATGAGAATCTATAAATCTTTTTTTGAAAATTCGTTTAATAATGAATTTTTCAATGAAACACCGCCTTACCAATTAACTATAGGAATCGATGAACTAATTTCGCCGCCAAAAAATTCTCGAAAAGCGACAAATTTTCGAAAAAATCCTTATTCTTCGTCACCCCCAAGACCTCAAAACGCTTTTGTTCTATTTCGTCGTGATTTTTCTGCAAAGCTAAAATTAAAAGAAATGAAAATGAACAATGGGGATGTCTCTCGTTTAGCATCCGAAGAATGGAGTAAGCAGCCGAAAGAAGTTCTTCGTTTCTTTGAATTTCTCGAGAATTTAGCGAAAGATAGGCATAAAAAGATATATCCGGATTATTCATATTCGCCGAAAAGAAAATCAAAATCGAAAAACGATACATGTCGAAAAAATAATGAAGTAACATCGGAAACTTTTTTATTTAAAAGTATTAATGAGGCTGATCGTAATTTTTCAGAATCATTAAGTTTTAACGCTCAAGGAACTTGCAACGACATTAAGCTCAATACCGATTATTCTGATTTTACAACAAATAATTCTCTATCTGAACGGGAAAGAACTTTGGATTTTTCGGAATACATTTATTTCGATCCTCAAGTATAAATTATATTCTAAAATTTGGGATCTTAAAATTGATTTCTGTCATTTATGTTTTTTCTACTACAATTTACCATTTTTAAATAGCAATATAACGTGAATGTAGTGTAAAAATATATGTATTATTCACAAGAATTGTATGTTGGGACACAAAACGACAAGGGATAGGGTAGAATTAATGTAAGAAAAATAAAGATTATGAATATGCCAAAATAATAAGTAATTAAAAGATCACACGTATATTGTTTTTGTACCAGGAGTGCAACGAAGAGTATAGTTTATTAATTAATAAAATTTATTTTTATTGTAGGAACACAAATTACTTTTTTATTCAACAGGCTTTGAAACCCTTCACTGAAACTAGTCATCAAGTTTTGCATTTTACAACGAAATTTTTTTAATCGAAATTCGTCTGATGGTTAATTTTTGTCGATCGACCCGTGATCTCCCGTGATGATTAACCAATCAAATTAAAAAAATTGAACGCGAAAATCAATTTTGTGATCAGATGATTTGATTTTATCACAAAATTTTATTTTTAAACTATTATCTCTCTTTGAATCTACTTGCAATCGTTAATTCTAGACGGGTTCTAGATGGGCTTTTGCAGAAATGAGTAGAGGTAAATGAGTAGAAGGTAAATCCACAAAAATGATATTCAAAATTTAAAACTAGATGTTTTTATACTAAATTTTCTATTAGTATTAACGTGGCTTTTAAGAAGTTATTACGTTTCTGGTTTTAAACAGTTTTGTTATATTTAATTTATTCTTTAAATAGACATCTACTGACATAAATATGAGAATGTATAGTTGTTTTTTCTATTATTAAGAATTACGGAATTGCTAATCTGTAATATTTTATATTGTAGAATACTGGAATAGCCTTAATCGTTGGCTTACCATATGTTATATGCCAGTCAAACTTGTAGAATATCAAGATCTTCGCGGCCATATTATCATAAGATAACTTGTTATATCTAGAATTTTATTTTTTATTTTAATATTTAAATTGACAAAAAAGGTATTGGTTTTTACTATTAATATGATTGTTTATATAACAGATTACGATATGTACGATTTAAAGTTTTTTTTTAAATTTATTGTCTAATGTATTTATTGTAATTTATTTCATATTTTAGGCTATTCTCAACCAGCTCTTTTGGTGTAATTTGCTAGTGTCAAAATAGAGTTCAGAATCGATGAGTTTCGAGCATTGTTTAATAATTTCGAGCATCAGTTGAACGAAAATTCGAATGTTCATTGAGTTTTTAAAATATCAAAAGTATATATAAAAACTTAGTATAATATAAAATTTTTATCAATAGTTTGTTTCTTGTTATTCATAATAATCAAAAAATTTTTCATTACCAAAACAAATAGTTAATTTTAACTTTGACTGATGTTCGAATTAAAAACTCAATGAATGAAAGCCTATTTTGATGCTCGAAATTTTTGATCGATGATCAAATAATTCTTCATCGATTCCACCCTCTAGATCAAGATGCTGCTTAATTATTTTGAAGGCAATTCGGGCTCCAACCGGCATAACGTAATCCCGATATGAACCTCATTTGAAACAGATATTTGGAGGAAATAGGAGACCTTTAGGAACTAATCGGGTTCATATAGGCGTTCAATACATATCGGGATGCCGATAGCTCTATAGGTAGCTTTATCGATATACCTATAGAGCTATCGGCATCCCGATATGTATTGAACGCTTATATGAACCCGATTAGTGTCCTAAGGTCTCCTATTTCCGCTATTTCCTCCAAATATCAGTTTCAAATGAGGTTCATATCGGACTTGCCTTCTCAAATTTATTTTATATGCTTCAGTTGGCCATATATAAGGAATTACTATCATATACAAAATTTTTTGTAATAGTGAATCTACTATAAATATACTCGGCTTCTTAATGTAGGTTCAAGATATTGGTAAAATGTAAGTAAGAAAAAACTTGATATAGAAGAATTATCATGCTTTCTTAAAAGTTTATATACTTTTTAACCAACTAATATAAATTTAAAATTTTAGATCCATTATATTCAGAATTTATTACTAAGATTTGTTATATGAGTAACGGAAAGAAAAAAACTTGGAAATCAAAATTACTTTACTGTAATGAACTTAGCCCTTAAAGAATCTAATCTCGCAATGATTATATATGATCAAATCTGAAGTTTTAGTCGCTTTAAATTGAAGTGACTAGGATGTTTAGCTGTATACTTATTTGATTATATGTAATCATTGTGAGATTAGATTCTTCAGAGTTGCAGTAAAAGTTAGTGATTTGGTTTACAGGTTTTTTCTGTCACTAATATTCAGAGTTGATTATATTACTAAATAATAAAGATTATTTGATTTATTATTTGATTTGGCAAATTTTTATTTGAAATTTTTATAGTTTATTTAAATTATAATTTTTTTATTACATATTTAATGAGTATTAATAAATAAAAAAATAAAAAAAAGAGAAATTCAGAGAAAATAAGATGTTTACAATATATTTACTACGTATAGATCTAAAGCCAATATAATTTACAAAGTTTTTATAATACAAATACTTTAAACTAAAAATATAAAAATATATGCGATATATATAGCAATAGTAGTACTTTTTTTTTGAATTCCGAATATACCGAAGCTCAAAATTTTGAAAAAGCAATATTTCGACAGCTCATTAATTCGAAAACTAAATCTCGAAAAAAATATATCCCGAATGATCATAATCCCGAAGAATCACAATCTTGAAAAAAAGTATCTCGAATATAATAATCCCAAATGTAATAATTCCGAATATAATAATTCCGAATGTAATAATCCCGAATATAATAATCCTGAATGTAATAATCTCGAATTAGTGATCTCGAATTAATGATCTAATAGGCAATTAATTTAGTTTGATTAACTTTTGGCTGTGGTCAGTTGAATATAATTATAATATTTCAATTTAGACGTAATCAGCTTCATGTTAACAAAATAGAACAACGCTCATAAAATTGTGAAATGTCAATTTGTCAAATTCGCATTTGCCGTTTGATATCTAATATTTACAAATTATTTTGAACGTAAAAAGTCAATTGAATGTTCACGGATTTAAAAGCGTCGTATATAGTCTCTCGGTTGATTATCTTGTTCCATGTTAACTGAAAAGAAATCAAAAAACTAAATTGCCTATTCAGATCATTAATTCGAGATAATTAATTCGAGATTATTACATTCGATATTATTACATTCGAGATTATTATATTCAGGATTATTACATTCGTGATTATTACAACCAGGATATTTTTTTTCGGGATTGTGATCCTTTAGGATTATAATCATTCGGGTTAATTTTTTTTTTCGAGATTTAGTTTTCGAATTATTGAATTGTTGGAATATTGCTTTTTCGAGATTTTGAGCTTCGGGATATAGTACCATCAGGATTTAAATCTTCGGGATTTTTAACGGCTCCTCTTTTTGTTGAAAACTACAGAATTAATGTAATATTTAGTTAATAACAGGTATGTTGAATGGCATGCTATCCAACTTACCATTTAATATTATTAACGGACAATTGACATTTGAATAATTCCATTTAAATCTATACCATTCAATTCTGAGTTCGTACGCTTTAACGTTTTTAATTGGTTGTATCCGAATCCAAATGACAGAAAATGTGATTTATTCATATGAACCTGAGAATGTCAATGTATGCCGGAATATATCATAATCCGGGAATATGTATAAATTGAATTTTTAGTAGCACTTAAATGGTTAGATTCGAGTAATTTTTATGAAGTAAGGAATTTGTCATAATTACGTACGTACGTACGCACCCTTGAATATGTGCCAGGTTTGTGGCGCAGATGTCCTGAATTAGGATAGATTAGCCAAAATTTAGGGTCGGAATAGGCCCGGGGCTGGCATTAAGCGATGATAAATGCCAACTATACTACAGTACTATAGCAAAGTTATCATCTGGGCAGCTTTACTTAGTATGTGGGCTACCATTTCATTAGCAAAATTTTAGGTGATTTTTGGGAGAAATTTATCAATTCCAGCCTATTCCGTTGCTCCACTAATCAATCCCCTGAACTACGAATCAGATTTCAAGATCAGGTGTAACGTAATACGATCAAGAAGATTCAAAACAAACGTCTGTTTTGTCAGAAATCGTCAATTTATTGAAAATATGCATAGGAAACACCCTTTAGTGCTTTAACAAAGTTTTCGCTAGACAATTTTACTATATAAACATCCAGAACCCTAACCCTAACATAAACGAACTTTGAAGAATTTTTATTGCGCCACAAACCTGGCACGTTAGTAGATAGCGGCACTAAATTTTTTTGTTTAGCAATTTCAACAGTGAATGGTTCATTAGTTGGAATAAAATTTAAATTATTCTAAAATTATCATAATTCGGCTAACACTGCATGATTAGTAGATAATCAAAAAATATGCATGTAAATACTATAGTAATTGAAATTTCTAAAATTTATGTGTTTAGGGCTTCCACTAACATTTGAATATCATAAATAAATGTTAGGTTATGCAAAATTGATTTTCTGTTTTACAAGTTTCAGCCAACTTGCTTTACAGTTTTTTGGTACCAATTTATCTAATATCACCTAATCAATGAAGACTTTAATTTCTCAAAATTATACGTTTTATAAAAGCAACTGGAAAAAAGCCTACAATTTAAACTTTAGATTTTATAAAATAAGTAACATAAGATTAACTTTGTACAGTCTTATAAATAGCAAAAACATATAAATTATAAATATTTGACCATTTTATTTTTAATAAAGTTTTTTCCGTGCCAAAGGCACGGGTCATATACTAGTATAATATTTAATTTTGACCGGTAGGTATATTCGTTAATTTTCACTTTCCCGAAACCTACCTTCCCAAAATACCATTTCCCCACCCATAATTTCGATATCCCTTTTCCCGACAAGATATATTTCTGACAGTATATTTTACTGAACTTTTCATAAATCACTAACTTTGTTGGTGAAATGGCTGTCATTGTCGGCAAATTAGTTTATATATTTTTGGGGATTTCAGGAGACCCAGAATTTCAACATCCTTCAGTAAAAAAGCTTTCAGTAATATATTTTCAAAGAAATAGAATGTTTTAATATTCAGTAAAATGAAAATAACAGATAAATGACTTATCAGTAATATTTTGGTAAAATGAGACTTTCAGAATTATGTCTTGTTAAAGTATAATCCCAATTTGTTTTTTGGAAGTTAAAGGATATTAGATGATTTTTATTCAGTAGAAATTTTTGAAGTTGAAGTCATTTGCTTAAAAAGTGTCTAATAAGGTTTTGTGCTTTAGGATTAGCATATCTAATATATTCATAACAAATTTCAGAGAAACCTGCAGCTTTTTGTTTAAAAAGACTAAAAATTATTTCTTGCTATTCTTGTTTAGATATTTTTAAAAAGATTTTTAGAATAGGGTTTAAGCTTAGAATATGATTTATATAAAAAAAAATTACTAGTTGGTAACATAGCTTCAAGTGGTTTGAATTTGAAGTAGTGGTAAAGTGAGAGTAAATTGAAGTTAGTATTTCATCCTATTCAGTAAATAGAGAGTTGTTTGTGAATACTCTGCCTATTTGAATATTATTGTATCTTTTAAAGATTTTTTTGTAAAAAAGTTTAGGTATTTCTTAGAATAATTTGTTATGATTTTCAATTTTTTGTTTAATTTCTTTGTAGATAGCTTGTTGTTAAAAATAGTTAAGTGTGATTTTAGTAAGATGTAGTTTATTTTTGAGTTGAATTAAAGTAGGTAAGAGTGTTTAAATAGAGGTATTTAGATTAATAAATAAATATTTGTTAAGTGTAATTTTAGTAAGATGTAGTTCATTTTTGAGTTGAATCAAAGTAGGTATGAGTGTTTAAATAGAGTTATCTGTATTAATAGATAAATATTTTTGTAATAGTGTATTAAGATTTGGTGAGTTGTAATGATGTTTAAGAAATTGTATTTTTTTATAGTGATAATATTGCTGTGGATGTTTTGAAAAAGAATTTTTTTAAACTTCTTGGAATGTATTAACTTTTTTAAAAAAATTGTTTTAAGAAGCAGCTTTAATTAAAACTTTATAAATTATGTTTTAAGTATTATTGTATTGAATTTAATTAGAGATTGAAGAGATTTTAGATTCAATTCATTGAAAACTTTGTGTAGTTTGATTGGCATAGTTTTTATAAGCTTCCTTAGAGCAGTTTTTTCAAAAAAAGACTTTGTGTTTGTAATGTTTGTAAGGTTTTGGATTATTAAGAATAATTGTAATCTTTAAAGTAATAATACTATAATCAGAGTCAAGTATAAAGTCTGTAAATATATTTGTATAATTTATATAGATAAGAGATAAATTAATACAGATTTGATTAATTCTATTTTGAATACTAGAGCATTGAAAAGTATAGTTATGGGTGTTAAAAAAAAAGAATCAGTAAGTATTCTTAAATTAAAAGCTAATAAGATATTTAATAAGTTGATATTTAGGTATAAAAGATTTTTTAGAAGTAGAGTAATCTAGTTGAGATTTGAAACTTTATTGAAATCATCTAAATTGATGATTTTGTAAAAGATATTTTATAAGAGTAAAATAATTTGTTTAGAAATCTCTTTTCATAATTGTTTCTTTTCTTGTATAAGAATATAAATTTGAAGTAATTTAATAGATATATTTTTGAAGTGTAGATCAAGATCTATAACTATTATAATTATAAAGCATGCAATATATTTAGAGATTTTTTATAAAAAAAGATTCCAACTTCAGCTTGATGTAAGTTAGTATAAGAGCTTCAAAAACTAGAATATTTGTTAGTAAGTAAATTATTATATTTTGTTTCTTGTTTTGAAAGATGAGTTTTAGAAAGCTCAAATATATCAAATATTTATTGTTAAATATTTCAAATAAATATTAGGTTATTATAGTCTGTTAATATTTAGTAAACTAATTTTAATAAGAATTGAGATATGTGTAATTGTAGAATTGGTTAGTTAGTTAGAAATAGAACTGTCAGTTTGATTTTGTATAGTATAAGAGGCATTAAAGTAGAAAAGTAGAGTGGAGAAAAACTTGATATATTAGTATATAATTTGAGAGATATTTTGTAATTATTTTATATTAGTGATAGAGTGTGATTTAGTAATAGTTTAAATTTATTTGGTATGTAGATATGTAAGATGTAAAGTATGGTTGTCTAGATGAGAATAAAAAGATTGTATAGTTTATAGTCCTTTTAAGAAAAAAAGTTTGTGTTATAATAAAAATTTGTTGTAGCAAATATCTAAATTATAGAAGTATAAAGATGCTAATAATGGTTTGAATAAGTTTTTGTTTTAAGCCTAATTCTTATAGCTGTAAAGAGTTTTATAATCTGCTCTGTATATTGAATCTGACTATTTTTAGAACTTTTATAATTAATATTTTATTAATTAGATCTATTAGCTTTAAAAAATTAAAATTAAATTAATTATATTAATACTACTTAATTTAGTAAATTTGTTTAACTTAGTAAAGTCATTATAATAGATTTAAATGAAATTTGATCAAAATAAAATTTTTCTATTTTTTAAAAAAAATTTTTTTATAATTTGGCATTCCTGCCTCTGTTTATTTGAAATTAAGCTATTTAAAAATTATATATTTCTATCTGTAGCTATTACTAATCTAACCAAACTAAAGACTCACTTCCAGCTTTCGCTCAGGTACAACCTGCCTCAGTAGTCCTTCAAATTTTTAACTTACAAAAAATTTATTCTCTATAGTTATCGTCTGGTAACTACCTAATTATATTTATATTCTACAATGTAATTGCTCTTTAGCTGTGGCCAGTACTTGTGAACAATGCAAAACA